GGCTGCCAAACCTATGTTTTCTGCAAGGTCACTTCGAGATTATATCAAATTAGTGGAATTCAGCTTAACAGTGAAGTGTTCTACTTTGCAGGCTGGAATGGCTGCAGCACGCGGTATTCTTGGAAAAGGATGTTCCCTCTTGAGCAACCCAAAACACATGGTTCCGTCACTGACAGAAACAGGGGCACGCCTTTTTGTTACTAGGTTTCTTAGACATTATATATCTACTGGATGTTTAATGTGAGTAATACTAAAGGGCTAATATTCTAGACTTTCTTCACTATAAAGCTCAAGCTAAATCATATAAATCACAAGCTTGTAGTTACTGATCTGCATTCCATGTGCCAATTATCTCATTCAACTCTTCTTAACATAAGAATGAGATATATATGCATCCCCACTACATACTCCTTTAATTTTCTTTCATCATGTGGAATAATTTTTTTTTTTCTTTTATGGAGATTATTAATACATTGTGCCTTCTCCTCCTACAGTTTATTAGAGGAAGGAGGTACAATTTTCAACTTTGAGGGAACCAGAAAAGGGTGTTCTCTAAAATGCGTTCTTAGAGTTCATACTCCTCAGTTTTACTGGAAGGTATGCATTCTTATTTTGATTATAACACTTTTTTTTAATGGGAATTATAAACTACATGGTGTTGAAGTTAAAAGGAAAAGTTCTAAATCACTTCCACTCAAAAGTAATAGAATGCATTTGTCAGGTAATGACACAGGCTGATTTAGGCCTTGCAGATGCATATATCAACGGGGATTTTTCTTTCATTGATAAAGACAAAGGCCTTCTAAATCTTTTTATGGTAAGATAATTGATCGGTGTCCAGTGCAAAATCATTTGGTTACTTTGCCGATTCACATAAGTTATTGTCTTACTGATTCATTTTCCAGATTCTCATTGCCAACAGAGATTCAAATTCTTCTGACTCAACATTGAACAAGAAAAGGTTTGATGACACTTGGTTACCAGCTTAAACTTGAATTATGATATAGCTAGTAGTCATCAGAATCTCACTGAGCTCAGGACTCAAATTTGTTTGCTATAGGGGATGGTGGACGCCATTGTTATTCACAGCTAGTATAGCCTCAGCAAAGTACTTCTTTCAGCATGTTTCAAGGAAAAATACTCTCACACAGGCGCGCAGGAACATCTCTCGTCATTATGATCTGGTATACAATTTATGACCTGGATTTAGTTTTCACAGAGATTTAGTTTGTTTTCATTTAAGGTACTGAATTCAATTAGCATCAGGCATGCACAAGCTGATTATTACCTTTTTGTGTGTTGCAGAGTAATGATCTATTTTCGCAGTTCTTGGATGAAACAATGACATATTCCAGTGCTGTATTTAAGGTCAGAATCATCAGTTTCCATCAAGTTTACAGTAAACCTAGCATGAAAAAAGGTGTATTGTTTAATTTATATTTTTGTTTCTGTATTGAATTATTTTATAGACTGAAGATGAAGATTTAAAGACTGCACAGCTAAGGAAAATCTCTCTTCTCATTGAAAAGGTGAGTCTTTTATGTAAGAATTGTGAGCTTTTGATATCCTTTTCTGTGCACTATTCCAATCTGTTTTTCCTTTGAATTAATCTAGTCTAGAATTGAGAAGAACCATGAAGTTCTAGAGATCGGATGCGGTTGGGGAAGCTTAGCTATTGAAGTTGTCAAACAAACTGGTTGTAAATACACTGGCATCACTCTGTCTGAGGAACAACTCAAATATGCACAACAGAAAGTGAAAGATGCTGGCCTTCAGGTATCAAATTTTGCAAATTCCATGCTTATATATAAGCACATGCACATGCTGCTAGATGCATGTCAAGGCTTGAGGCTTACTTGGAAAAGCCTTTCATGCATAATTTCAACTAAATTTCTTCCAGGACCGCATCAGATTTCTTCTGTGCGACTATAGGCAACTTTCTAACTACAAATATGACAGAATTATATCTTGGTGAGTACTGATCCCACCAAATTTAATTCATTAATAATATTCCTCGAAAATACCTTGACCTGCGGTGGAATTTTTCAGCGAGATGCTTGAAAGTGTGGGGCATGAATTTATGGACGAATTTTTTGCTTGCTGTGAATCTGTGCTAACAGATAATGGCCTTCTTGTTTTACAGGTAACATCCCATATAATGTTGTCCCAGGGTAGAGCTAGAACTAGTAAATATAGTTGTTCGATTATTTTGATTAAAAAAATAAACTCCTATAAACGGTAGCATCCAACATCTTGCTAATAGTTAAGGGCTATTGATCTTGCTTCAGTTCATATCAATACCGGATGAACGTTACGATGAGTACAGACGAAGTTCAGACTTCATAAAGGAATATATTTTTCCTGGTGGATGTCTACCTTCATTAAGTAGGGTAACATCAGCAATGGCTGCTTCTTCCAGACTCTGGTATGATCTGTTATCATGACAACAATTTCATGGTTAGGTTTAACTTCCTTGTATGTATTTTTATTCGACTTTCGGGAATTCCACTACTGCAGTGTGGAGCACTTGGAAAACATTGGAATCCATTACTACCAGACACTGAGATGTTGGAGAAAAAATTTCTTGGAGAGACATAGGTAAGAAGAAAATGATGCGAACTGTAATAATCCTCCCCAAAGAAACATAAACTTATCATTGCTGCTTGATGCTCTCTGTGCTCTTATTTTGCTGCAAAATGCATTTACTGAATTTATTCTCTAATAAAAATTGTTTTTAGACATACATGTAAATGTGTACATATGTAACTGAAGTTTGGGATTTTAACGTTGGCACAATGGCTTGGATGTTTGTAGTGAAATACTGGCTCTTGGGTTCAATGAGAATTTCATCCGGACATGGGAATATTATTTTGATTACTGTGCTGCTGGTTTTAAGACATATACGCTTGGAAATTACCAGGTGCACATTACATATATGTTCCTGCAATTTCAGATATTTTAAGCTCTTTGGATCCACAACTAAAGAGTTGCAAACTGTTCGTGTGTGATGTAGATTGTGTTTTCGCGTCCTGGCAACACTCCGGCCTTCACCGACCCATACAAAGGCTTCCCTTCAGCTTCAGCATATTGATTGTTCTGTTATATGATCAGGCTTCACAATTCAGCATAGTATTATTCTGTCGGATAGTATTATTTTGACTAAAATCTGCCGGATAGTATTATTTTGTTCCGGAGAGTATTGACTGTTTATCCATAATATTATAAGGCGTTTGGTGCTATTCCAAATAAATAATATGATTAAACTATACTGTGTTTGGTGCTATTCCGGATAACATCGGATCCTATTTTTTTACAAAAAGTTCTTTGATAATTTAAGTGGAAATTGAAATTGAAATGACACGAATTTTATTTATTTATTTATTTTTGATAAGATTCATATGACAAGATTTTTTTTTTTTTTTTTTCATATAACCAGAAAACAAACCAACAAGCACCAAAAGTAGAAAAAAAAAATACAAGAAGAAAAATATAGCCGCATGTATTGTTCTAATTGTTGACTTGGGATGATAATTTGATTATTGAGTTGGATACCTGGAGAGATGAAATATATAAAGAAAACAACATAAGAAAAACTCAGCAGCATGTATTGAGTTCGATACATAGCCGCATGATGATAATTTGATTATTGAGTTGGATACACAGCCGCATGTATTGTTCCAATACATCAAGAAAAAGAGTCAAAAAAGAAAAACTCATAACCTAATTTCCACAAAAATTTAATAAAAAAAGGAAATATATAAAGAAAGAGAAGATGAAGAGAGAAGAAGCACATTAGATAGAGAGAGTGAAGAGAATAACCTTGGAGAAGAAGATGAAAATAGCATCGTCGGATTTTTCACATAAACATGTATGTTCTTTTCCCTAGCTGTATAATTAAATATGTATTATCTAAACCGGGTTGTGTGGGTTGTATTAATTAGTCGGGTAAAGAGCGTATTAAAAGTCCAACCTTTTAAAATAATCAAGTAATTAAATAATACAATTTGACCCCAAACACCTGGCATGAACTATTTACTCCTATTCAGAGTCTAATACGGTGTACCAAACGAGAGTATTGCCAGATATCTGTTCATTTTTTTATTCTTTTATTGTTAACAGTTATTTTATCATCTGTGTTTTGGATCGAACAAGCTTCCGTGAAAAAGTGCCTGTCTTCTTCATCTACTACTTTATAAAAAAAAATATAAATAAAATAAAAAAATAAAAACCCAGAAGACACAAAAGTAATATTTTTTTATCATTTAGCTTTCTGTTGATGCTGAACAGCAAAATGTTGCCACTAGGTTTAGACCTTGCAACAAAGCCTACTTGACACATGAGTAAGTATAGCCTAGTAGCCCACTCCACTGAGGCAGATCATAAAATGTAACATAACACAAGGTTGGTTTATTTTCTCTCTTTCCTTGCCACAAATCGTAGCTGGCATAAAACTGTACAGAACAAAATGCCCACGTCTAGCACAATCAGTGACCGTCTAACATCGGCCATTGAAATTTAGGCATACCAAGTTTTGCAGAATGCAGAGACCATGTTTTAAACATACCGGGTTTTCCATACCAGGGTAACCCATTTTACACCATTTCATCTCTAATATGCTTTACATAATCCAAATTGCGGGAGAGGGGTAGAAGATGCAAATAAGTTATAGCCAAGGAAGGCTCAAAACAACAATGCATGTATGTATGCTTAAGTTGCTAAGCAAATGCATCACCATAGGCATTTCAAAACAGATCATCGTCTAGTGGGTGCAACATCTAAGGATTCTAAAACACCGAACAAAACGTTCAATACAGAATCAGATAAGAAAGCCCTCACACCCTAAGTATCATTGCCTTTTCTATTTGACGGATTCCTGTAGTTCAGTCAAAACACAAAACTCCACCACAAAGAATTGAGATAACAAGGTAAGAACACATGGAAGGAGACAAGAAATAGGGTAGGCTACTCTATACTATAACAGGGCAGAAGAAAACAGAGTCTGCACTATTACAACAGTCAATATTCTTATTGAAATAATGCATCATAAATCTAGCCTGCGTTCTCAAATTTGGAAAAATAAATGAATAAAAATGCAATGGGTCTTCTACTTCATTCTAAAGTTCTAGAAAAACTATTTTAACAGAAGCACCTCCTTTCTGCTTCTCTAAATTCCGGAACCATCTGCTCCTATGAATCAAAACACGGCCTTACACAATCAAATTTTAAAGCGAATCTGGCTAAGCTGCTCAAGTCAACATACCGTACGCTGTTCACCTCACAATCTGTCATGCAACCAAAACCAGGGATAAGTTTACGATATTAGTGATATGAGCTTGAGGACTCTGCGAAATTTGACAGTGTTGGCAATGGCATGGCCTGGCTGGAGAATGCCTCATTAATTTCAAGTGAACAAACTTCCAAATATTTCATTCCATGCTGAACACACCCCCAATGAACATGCCCCACCATGAAGCTCGTTTCAGCCATGATGGACACTTCACTTTACAACTTGTGCACCTCTCCTCCTGTACAACACAAGGGCAAATACAGGGGGAAAATGATTATGCCATCGTCAAAGTGTCAACTACCACTATGATTATCGCTACCCATAACGAAGTGACCAGCCCATAGCTCCATTGCTATCAGAAAAATATCCTCACTACATCTTTGTACTCCTACTTGTCATAACAAATCAAGCATAAGCACCTAATGGCTAAACTTTCTACAGCATCTAATCCTCAGCCAAATTAAATTAAATTAAAATAAAGCACTAATAAGATGTCAAACAACAGAATACTCAAATGCAATAAAACCAAAATAGGTAAGGTTATATAAGCTACTTTAGCTTTAACACTACGACCAAAAACGTAATTGCCACTAGCAGCAAGTAGACAATTATAAGCACGCCAAATTTAACACCACTCAAAAGCAAAAACTAAATATGAGGAGCATCTAGTGCGAACTAAAATACTACTTATTATAGACTACCAAAAGAGTAACTGCAAACTACTAGAATTTAAGCAATCCAACCAGTCCCAAAGCATTGCCATCCAACTTGAGCTGTTCCTGCTACTGCCGCTGGTGATGAGAAACCATTACTAGCTCATGCATAAAGAGTTACAGATCCTTAAAACAGGATGAAATTTCCATTGAAACAGTTGACCATCAAAATTACTGCTGTTGGGATTGTCGTGCCTGAGCACTGCCATACCCACCACCATAACCAACTTGTCCACCATTTGCCTGACCACCATAGTTTCCTGAAGCCTGGGATGGATCAGATCTCCAACCAGCATTTCCATAACCTGTATTTCCATTTGAATCGCCATAGCCACTCCCAACATAGCCACCACCACTACCTTGCTCCCCACCTGCGCCACCAACATTGTTGTTTGGGACACTCCCTGAACGCCCTCCAACAGCACCATAACCAGACGGATTTGCATAGGACGCATCACTTCCACTGTACCCACCATAACCATAACCTTGAGCTCCATACCCAGCCGCTGCACTAGGTGATTGACCAGCAGGTGCAGAACCAGGGCCGCCACTGCCTGCACCTGCACTGCCACCTGAAACACCCCAAGGAGCAGTATTCCCGTATCCCATAGCACCATATCCAGAGGGGGCTTGAGAACTCCATGAACTTCTAGGGGCACCTGGCGGACCACTAGCATAGCCAGCATTTGGGGCATTAGGGTTTCCATAGGCAGCAGCTGCTGGACCTCCATAGCCGGTATTAGTACCACCGTAACTTCCATAACCGCCATAACCAATTCCATTACTGGTAGGACCATAGCCATAACTGGGTGCACTATACCCAGAAGAACCATAAGGTGGAAAACCACCTCCAGTACTCTGAGATTGCATGTACCTGTTGGAGTCCATTCTACCATCATATGCATTTGGGTTGCCACCAGATGCGCCATATCCTTGATAACCGCCACCAGCTGCACCACCGCCACCTTGACCACCCCCCATGCTACGGCCACCCCCACCAGGATTGGCATCTTTGGGAAGCGCCCGCTTAACTTCCACTTGCTTACCATTTAAATCATGAAATGTTTTGTGCAAAACCCTATCAACTGCTTCTTCAGTATCAAATGAAATAAATCCAAATCCACGAGGACGTCCGGTACTTTGGTCATACATTACTACTACATCAGTTACATGGCCATAAGTTTCAAAATACTCACGGAATCCTTCTTCGCTAAGAGTGGGAGGCAACCCTCCAACAAATATCTTCTTGGTCCTAATATTTCCACCATTTCCACCACTTCTAGTAGGGTTAGCATTTCCAACTCTGCCAGTGGTTTGCTGCTCCTCTCTCGATAGGGCCCTCTTAGCCTCAACCTGAAATATAAAACCAATGGTTATGCAACAGAAGTAAAGACAACTTATAGTGTCCTCACCGTTCTCATTTTTTCCATCTTCCTAATTTTTATGCAATTACAGCAACCCAAAATCATCTTCTCTCTAAAATTCTTCTGATTAGTAAAATCTCTGCCATCCATAACCTACTATAACCATAGACAGCACCCACCCGTTATACACGAATCCTCTCCCAGGGATCACCCTCACCCACTGAAAAGTGGTAAGAGTGACCACATACAATCAATAAAATGTCCCTGGAGGTGCAAGTCAAGCTAAAATTATTAGCAGCATCATAATTCTGGGATGTAAAACAATTGACATGCAAACCAATATAAATCTTAAACCCTAAATCCAGTCACATACGTAGCAATGAATTATTTCATAGCAATGTACCTCCAGACACATTTGCTCACAAGAATAACTCTGTTACACACTAGCAGACCAATAAAAGGGCAACGATACAATCTATTATGCCATTGGATTAGATAATGACATTTGTGAAATTGCCTTTAAGAATGTAAAAGGGGGTGGGGGTGTAAACAAATTCTTCAAAACTCTTAATAATTAACTATAACATTTATAACATACAGCGACAAAATATTTGAACCAAAATTAATCAATGACTTCGAATTCTAAAGTTTTTAAAGGGAAAAACCAAGGAAATATCATGTTCTATTCCACCCCCGCACCCCACGGCTATATCAATTGAATCAAGTTCCACCTTCCAAACTTAACAGCAACCCGCAAACCAGAAAAAATGCAAGTACATGCTTTCATATCTAATGGAATCAATCTCAACAACATAACTCAAAAAATATATAATTTAATATCTAACGGAATCAAGCTCAACATAGGAACTCGACAAAGATATATACAACCATAATCGCAGTATTACAAAAGCAAAAGGAAACTAAAAATCCAAAATCTAAAATTAATTGTTAAAAATAAAACAAACAACAAACAACTGAAACACGCACATAGAAACAGAAAACAATTAGCTTTAGACCTAATTAGCACTTAAATACGCTCAGAAAACGAGCCAAGAAATTGGAATCTGAATCTCACCGTTCTACCATCGATGGTGTGCTTATCCTGAAGAACCCTATCAAGAACAGCAGGATCTACAAAAACCACAAACCCAAAACCTCTAGGGCGTCCCGTGACTTTGTCCCTCATAACCACTGTTTGCAAAACGTCGCCGTAGTTGCTGAAGTACTCCTTCAGCTTATCCTCCGAGGTTTCCCATGAAATCCCACCAATAAAAAGCTTGCCTTGATCTGAATCCATGTGGGTTTTCACTTCCTCTCCCTCTCACTGCCTACGTGAGTGAAAGATTCGATCTTTGTTTATTTTGGAGGGGTTTTTTGGATTTTGGGGGTTTGGGATTTGGAGAGGAAGGGTTTGTGGCCGACTAGAGAGAGAGAGAGAGAGAGAGAGAGAGAGCGCGCGTGGGAAAGTGAAGTATGTATGGTAGGCTTTGAGACTCTGGTGGGGGGGTGGGGATTGGGACTTGGGGGATTGGGAAGTAGGCGTTTGGACGGATGAGATTTGCTGGATTGGTTGGTCGGGAATCATTTTGATGCGGGTGGTAGCTGTTGTACGGCTGAGATTTGATGTAAGTCGTCATCCGTCAGTGAGGTCCAAGTCTTTAGCCTCCCCTTGTCTTAGCTTCGGCTCTTTGTCACGTGACGTGCACACTAGATGACATATGATTTTCTTTTTTCTTTCCTTTTATTATTCGAGAATTCAAAATTTGTACTCTTGTAGCATTTGCCCGGCCCGTTTGTTCGGGTAAGGCCTGAGGCCCAGCTCTGTTTGTAATTATTGATAATTATTGAATATTTATTAAAGGATTTAAGATTTAGGCCATTTCAATAATCTAACGATTTAAGATTTGACATTTCACTTTTAAACTTTTTACACTCATCCATTTAATGAATAAGTTTAAATAAAATCTAAAAATTTTAAAATAAAACCTAGCAGCTATCCCACCTCTTCGATAACTCTCTCCCTCTTCCATGAATGTGTCTTTTTAGCGAGAACAAGAAGATGGCAACCCAATCCTAGATGGGTGGAGATGCCTCATAATTGTTTTGAACATCAATGATTTCAAATTGCTCGTGGTATTGTCCCAGTGAATTTATTAAAATTGAGATTCATTGCAATCTGCAAGCTTGAAGAACCCTTTTTTTTATTTATAGTTTATTTATGTATTTTACAAATAAAACACTCAAATTTGTTTTGTTTGAAGAGTACTTTTTTAACAAACGAGAGTTTGGGGTGGGGGAAGGGGGGAGGTTGGCTGTGAGGAGGGAAGATGTTGCCGTGAGTGTGGGTGGGGCAAAAGTCTTTTTTCTTTTAAATTTTTTAAAAATTATATTTAAACTTAACATTGTTAAGTTATAGTTAATTAAATGGATGAGTGTAAAAAATTTTAAAATGAAGTGTCAAATCTTAAGTAGTTAGATTATTGGATTTGCCTAAATGTTGCGAAATGAGGGTAAATGCACTGTATGTAAATGTAGAGGCTTGGGATCCTTTATGAAAATCATAGAGTATATTCATATGATTATAATCATTTTTTAATCAAGAATGCTTATAGTTGAAGTGGTATTACAATTTTGTAAGGATTTAACAAATCTCAAGTTTAAATCCCTTTTTAAACAAATGGCAAAGTCAAAATAACCTAATCAAATGTAAATTTAGTATAGTCAAATAAGCTCAGTTCAAAAGCCGTCCATGAGCCTAAAGAATTTTGGACCATAGGAAGGCATGAGTCTAGTATATTTATGAGACGGGTCAGTCTTCGAATTAGTTTGAGCTAACAAATAATGTGGTCAACAATTTGATTAGAACTAAAGGTATAATGTGGTCAATAATGTGATTCTCGCTAAGCATAATGTGTTCAAACAATGAGATTAGTAGATAGCCTACATTGATATTTTCTCCGTCTCCAATAAGGTGGCTTCGAATTTTGTTGCAGGCCAGCCGTTAACTTCTCTTTTTCCTTTCTTCCATATGCACTTCTTGTCAAAAGTACCAAACAAACATGGGCTGTTCTTGACTCCCCTTCATAAATTCTCACGAGACAAAAAGGCAAACGAATAAATGAGGGCACAAGTAGGAGAGCCGCATTGTACAATGTAATCACAGACAAACAAACAAAGCTTTTTCTTGTCATTTCCTCCTTTATTAAACTCGTGCACCCACCACATCATTTAACTCCTCCAACGTTACTATTTTCAAAACCCTTTGGAGCCAAATGCATTTAAAATTCCCCTAAGCCCCCCTTTCCCTTCTATCTGCCTATATGAACCACAATCCTCAGTGTTGGTGACACTAATGAGAAGCTAGGGACTTTCTAATATGGGGTGCTTCCTTGCCTGTTTTGGTTTTTCTAAGAAAAAAAAGCGGCGAAAACCAGGTAACAAAGTTGCAGCTGCTGGAGACCAGGTAAACTCTGGTTTTTGTTCCTGGATGTGTTTCATTGTGTTAATTAGTGTCATAATATTAAACCCAATTTGGGATTTTTATGATTTTGTTTGCTGCAGGGACGTGGGAGCTATGTACCATTAGATTCATCTCTGACGATTATTGGTGTCGATGGTGCAAAAGAAAGTCTCCATAGTGCCGGTTCTGAACTCAGGTAGTTCTTGCTTATAGTCTCCTACTTTGTGATGATATGTGAAATATTAATTTCCCTTTCCTTTAATGTTTGTTGTTTTAGAGACAAGCCTAAGGAGCAGACAAGGTTCAAAATCAGAAAGAAAGTTAGCTTCAATCTTAATGTCCAGACCTATGAGCCTATTTCGACTGGTTATCATTTCTTGGAGAGTGACGAGGAGGAGGAAGTGGAAAAGAATGGCCAAGAAGTATCAAAAGGAAGCCTTTCCACTTCAGCATCTCAAAGGGATTCAACTACATTGCGGACGGGACTTTTTCCTTCAAATTACAGGTACCAAAATGTTCGAGACAGCTACGACGAAGACGACCATATAGCAGATGAGGAAAGTGATTTAGATGACAATTATAACGACATTGATGATGATGATGACAGTGAAATTGATGATCAAAGAATAAGCCAAGAGGGGTTTTCAAGGCAATTCTGTTCTTCCTCTATAAAAAGAGAATTGGAATGTCCAAATGCTAGAGGTAATATCCAGTATGTACATTCTGTACTGAGTCCAGTAGAGAATCTGACTCAGTGGAAAGCAGCCAAAGCAAAAGCGGCAGCACCAAAGCAGCAAAAGGAGAATATAGCAGCATTATCTCAAGAACCCCGGATGCCGCCTTCTAGCAGATCAAGTTATAACCAGTCCAAACCTCTATTGCAAGAAATCCCAGTTCATGCCAGTCTTTCAAGTTGGTTAAATTCACAAAGTACAAATTAGTCCGAGACCACATTGATCACCAATATTTGCACAGCTTCTGTAACTGGGACCATCTCATTCACGAAATTAACATATTTGAAATTCAAGCTCAGTCAAATCTAAAGCGATATGAGAGAAAGAAGTAAACATAGCTAATTTGATACCAAAAAGTGAAGAGGGCAATAAACAGAAGTGTAGTTGAGGGTGCTTTTTAGCTTTGTAGCACATTTTGGACAGTGTATTTTTTGAGGGCATTGTTGTTTGTGTTGGTTTGTTTGTTTTTGGTTCTCTGGATTGTCTTGTAAATAAAGATGTTTGGTGGATTTGTACTTGTGTTGGGCAGTAACTCTGTTCAAGGAAAGTATGTAAGTCCAGAACAATGGCTTTGCAGAAAAATACATGTTGGCTTTACATTATATTTCCTTATGTCAGATGTTGAGTGGGGCAAGTTGGTCGAATGAGTTTTAAAATTCCATCTACCTAATAATGCAAGGATATAGATTCCAAATAAAGATTTCATGTAGAAGTTTTGGATAAAATTTTATGGAAGAGTCAAAATAATATCAAATTATACAAGGATTTTGAAAATTATATATTAAAAATTCCATCATTGCAAGTTTGCAAACAATTTTCAATATTTTATTGGGGTTTCCAGGAACAATGTATTCAAACAAACAGCAAAAAATTGGGACCACCTGAGTGATGCTTGGCAAATGCTATTTCTTTCAGGAACATTACAAATCCACTAGGTTCAAATTATTGATTCCTTAGGCATTTAGTCCTACATAGAATACATTATTTTGGCCGAAACAGTCAATGCAAATTAGACAGAAGTATGTCTGGAACACAGCCATATTCAAACTGCAAGATGAATAGACTTTCTTCTTTCTGTCAAGTGCTGAAGGAATACAGAAGGGAAGAAATTAACAGAATTGAAGTACCTTTTATTGAACAGGATGATTATCAAAGTATTCTGTCATTCTAAATACATACAACATACAAATATGCCTTGTAAAGCATACAAAATCTCAACTGTATTTAATATATTACATATGAAACCATATTGCCGTTATCCTTATCTGCTTTCACTCCCGGAAGATGATGGTCCACTCAGTTTGCATCTGGTTGTAAGAGAGCTCACAGCAAGTTAACCAAAAAAAAAAAAAATCGTACTAGACTTAGATGCAAGACGTGGGAGACTGCCTTGCCTTGGTCTCAGGACCTTTGGTCCATCCTTGACACGGTAGGTTAAAACAGAGCCAGTTTGTATAAAAAGCATCAAAATCCACTTGGAGAAATTGCCTAATTGATCCAGCAAATGTACCCTGATAATTCGTGTACTGAATGATATCTACATAATAATACATATGCAAGAATCTGCATCTTCATCATCAGAATCACTAACATCGCTGCAGATGAACAGGAGAAAGGGTGAGAGACTAGTAACTCCACAATAAATCTATAAACAATTATTCAATATTGATGTAGATAATAGTTGCTCTTTTGGTAAATCTGTTTTCCAATTTTAACCGGTATTACAAGTAGATAGGGAGATTGTTTATTTCAATCTACGGAAATGCAACCAAGCAGATTATCTTGAAAAGGATGTCTTGGTTTGAGCAATCAATAAAGATGTGGTAAACCAACAAATTTTGGAATAAATTGTATTCCCAATTCCTTTAGTGCGCCAAAAACATGTAAACACAGTAACACGCTAAGGGACAACTGAGGAAGTTACTTCATATGTAAATCAAAGAGTGCCCTTATGTGTAAGCAGACACTTCTGTGCTAGATCAAGGGATAGTTCAGGATAATGCTTCACCAGAATACAAGAGATATGAAGGTTCCAATGATCAAACAGACCAAAGATATAAAGGTTCCAACGATCAAACAGACCAAAGATATAAAGGTTCCACTGATCAAACAGACCAAAGACATGAAGGTTTAGTGTAAATCTGCATAACTTCACAATTTGGATGCATAACTTCGTCAAAGATAACTATTTTCTTTAACAAAAAGAAAAAGGAAACTATGTCTTGAAAACATGGAAATTAGACTGACCAAACCTAGATATTCAACTGACAAACCTAGACTAAACATATAATAAATAAAAAATCGTGCACTACATTAAAATGGGACCTGAATTGACCAACTCTCATAGTCTTACTAACAATCCACTGCCTCAAAAAATCAAACAGTTTTTCTAGAGTAGGAACAGTAGATAATCACTGCAACTCCCGTTTGTAACAAATAGCCAGTCAAGTAATTAGCTGAACTCAAATAAGCTAAAGGTCTCCCAGCAGATGCTAAAATTACTTCTGTATATGATGCAAACTATCTTTTTTCAGGAAATACGAAACCTATGATTGCAGGAAAATGCACTAAGAAAGACTACCACTGGATAAACAAAAAAGGTGGTTAGAGGCTTGCAAGTTGCAGCTATGTCTGAAGTCCATGGAAGTAAAAGGAAAGGCAAACCACAAAGAAGTAAAGTTGGCTGGTAATGGTCATTAGAAAAGACTAAACAAGAAGAATGGCTTATGTAAAATGGATAATGTTGGACAGCAGAATTGAAAATTAAGTGTCACCACAGCTAAAAGGACAATTAAAAGATAAATGAAGATGGTGAATTCTGGAATTAAAGTTCGGCTGAAATAACATCTCAAATCAAAGTCGAAAAAATAGAGCAGAACACCAACAAGAAATAGGAGACAAGGATTTGCCAAGAGTTTACAGGTGTCAGATACCCTGTATCCACAATAAGGTAGAAATACATGAGGTAGGGGCTGCTCTTTATATTTTATCTTGCAGTGAATATGCTTTCACTTTTGCTTTATTGGGAGCCATGGTTATAAAGAGTTAACTGGTTAGCCCTTTGCTTTTCAGTTTTCACTCTAACATTTCCCAAGAAGGCTTGATAAATTCCTTCAATCTCCTCAGACCAAACTTCTACCCTGATGGGAGGAAAGTTACTAACCCCAAGCTGTCATCCTGATTCCTGACACTAGTCAGGTAATTCTGTTAATGGAGCAGGCAGAAGCAACAACACCTTCGTTGAGAAAACTCAAATAGGTCAAGCTCAGCTCACAACAAAATTGCCGAATCCAATTCAAAAAAAATTCTCAATGCATAATGAAAAATGCAAACATAGTCATAAAGGCATTCAGGTCAAAAAGTGCCAATCAATTTGGATAAAATCTAAAACAGTTTGACATGACCAAAAAGGCAAGTGTTCTTCTTTATAGTCAGAAAACACATCAGAACATTTGCAAAGTTCACATATCGTATAAGCATCCATTATAAAGAAAACCACCACAGCTAAACCACATCAAAGCACAAGCAAAAAATCAAAGCTCAAACAGGTAAATTAAATCATAAAACTACATCATGAAACCAAAAACACCACAAACAACAAGCATAACTAAACAAAGAAATCAAAATTCCTATAATTTGATCAAGACAATGCATAAGTAAAGAAATAGAATTCAGCAAATACATTACCTTGGTTCGAATTCCAACACCTCAACAAGCTTATTCCCATTCTTATCATTCCACTGCACTTTTCGTCGGGTTTTATTCGTTTTCCTTGACATACCGCCTCTCCGAGGCGGCAACAAAGAATTAGACTCACTATCTTCATCTCCATTAACATTTTCCTCAACTCTTTGAGAGTCTGTGGTCTCCGACTTCTCAGTTTTACAGCCATTAGTAGCATCCTTAGCATCCGTATCCATTAACAAATTCGAAGCACGACCAAGAAAAACGCACACCCGATATCCAAATTCAACCAGAAACTATTTAAAATTCTGTAATTTATCAAAAACCCAATCGACCCAAATCCCTGATGCTGAAGAATTCGCAAACCCTAACCCTAAAGTTCAAATCTTGCAGGTCATCAAGGACGTGAATTGCCATTTTCCCCAAAGTCAACGCCCATTCTCGACACGACCGGGGCTTGAATAGCAATGAGATAAACTAGAAAACACGATCAAATTTCGAAAGAGAGAAAAAGGAACCTGATAATTGCTAACTAGGGAGATAACTGGGAAAAGTTTCACATTTTCCCGAGAGAGTGACGGAAAATGTACAGTTTCTTAGATCCTATACGAAATGAAAGGAACGGGTCTACTATTCTGAACCCATTTTGGTGCGAAAAAACAAATGAATACTAACAATGAGAGTTTCTGATTTTATTTTGTTGTGTTTCTTTCAAGTGAGAGGGGATCAGACCCATAATTTGATAGTAAAAGTAAACAACTCACAACAATTTTCAGCGTTTACTTTTTATTTATTTTCTCGGTTTTTAGAGGCTCACACGTGGCATAATATGGGGCTATGTGTGTGTTAGTTAATATCGTTGTAACAGTGAGGACTTGGCGGTATGTTCACTGTGAATATACACCAAAACGTACAACAAACATATTTATATTTTCCTTTTATTAAAGCACCGAGTACATTCTAGTACCAAAAAATAAAACACAGTACATTTTTGTCAATTATGGTGCTAACTTATAATGCTAGAGTCAGCCGCTTACTCGATGAGCCAGCCAACTATGTTTATGCATGCACTATTTTTTTTCCTTCTAATATTTAAAAGAAGAATTCAACAAACGTCGAACTCTAGTATTGTCGTCACGTGAATATTAAATTTACAATTTGTGAGTTGTCATGTCATTTTATAAAATTGACGTTATGAGATGAATCTGTTCGAAATTATATTTTTATTATCAACGGGAAATGAATAATCGCAAACTCTTTCATCATTGAAAAGAGAAGTGACATCGCACTAACAGCTAAGCAGTTATCTTATTATATTTGAACTTAGCCAAAAACAAAAGTGGGGTAAAATTTTGTAAGTGGTGACTCATGATTGCTACTAATATCACTATTTACATGTGGGTGGTCATTTTTAATTCCCATACATGTCATTTCAACACAAGTCATTTTTAAGTTGCAAGTCATATTAACGTAGCAATAATGAGGTTACCTGATTTGTCCTACATGAGTTTCTTTCCTATTAGTATAAGCCATACATCTTGTGCCACTATTTGCAACTTTGACTTCTTTATTTTTAGGGGAATTTTGATGGGGCCATCCCACATGTTCTTAGAAGAGATAATCCGGCGGCATATATCTTTCTCACAACAACACATCTCATGCAAAATATCTTAATTTTATTTGGCCATTAAAATAATTATAATGTAACTCGTGTAAGAGTCTAGATTAGTGGTAATCCCATAATTTATATTGTAATTAGACCCATCCTCATCCAAGAGATCTCAATGCTTGAGAATTTTTTATTTTTTATTTTTTACTTTTTGGAGGCTGTCAACAATGAAAATTGATTCGTCGAACGGGTAAATTACCTAATTCGATTTGTGGTTAAAATATAATGCGATTGATTAAATAGTTACATTTATTTATCATAGAGTAAATGTTGACTATATATAATAATAATAACTCGCTAAGAGATTCTCTTAATAAGAAAATGAAAGCAATTTTGTAATTTTGTAATTTGAAGCAATCTCTCTTCCAAAGAATGGTGGGGCCAAACACTCGACATCCCATCATATTGCAAACCTAACCAACTGATGGCATGGTTTGAAGTCTTCCTTAAATGATAGTTGGATCTCTAATCAAGAGTCAGTACTCAATGGTTCACCACGATAAATATACTCAATGCTCCACTGTATATAAATTTTTGTTTTATCCTACGCCAATAAAACTGTCGTTAATGATATTTGAACTCATAATCTTCTCCGATGATGTGATTGGATTGAGGGTTTAACCAATTCAGATATATTAAAATGGAAGATATTACTTTAATGTCTTCTTTACTCTAATTTTTTTTTTTCTTTCTCAATAACTTGGATTGCATGCAAAGGCATAAAGAAAACAAAACCTACCAAGATGAGGATGCTGACAGAAAATCACTTTAGTATGTTCTTTTTTTCTGACAAGTTAGCATTAGCAGCAGAGAAAGAGACAGTTTGCTTCAGAGGTTGCTAAACTTGAGTGCAAGGTTGAACTTAAATTTTACTCCAAGTTCATAGCCTCCAAAAGTAGTTTGGGTGAGAAACTGTATATCACACTATACATCCCTCTACATAAGTTCCATTTGATATGAGAACAAGATATCAGAGGTAGAAAGATAACTTTCTGGAGGCAGGATGGCATGCTTAGAGAGGGCATCCCCAGCTTTGAAGAGAATCCTGCTCAAATTGTACCGGTAAGTATATTTTCAGTATTCGTGCTTCGATTGCCTAATTCGAGTTATGCATTGTATTGTAACAAAACAATAATGTTAAGATTTTGCAGAGCTTATTAGCAGCTGTTTTGCTATAAGCATATTGCATTTTTGTTTGAAAATCTACATTACAACAATGTCTCATGTCTGCATGCATGAAAAGGGTTAACTAGCATATTGCATTTTTGCTATAGTCATTGATGAAACAGCTTATTTGCTGAACTAGCAGAAAAAGCAGCATCTCCATCCACTTCATAATTTAACAAGTTACAAGGTAGTGTTTTGCGAGCCATCGATAGTGAGTTACAGAAATGGCGACCTTCTATAAGTGTAGGAAGAGTGAAAATTAAATTGATATCAAGAAATATTGGAAGGAAAATTCCACATCATAAAATTTCTTTTGTAAAAAGTACAGCCGAAGTGACAGATTTAACTAATCTTGACAATATACATAGTAGGAATTTGGTGACAGGAAGATGTGGTATCCAGGTAGATAAGCATTATGTGTCCAGCAATAAGTTGTAGGGAGGATAGACCTGTATGGTTCTACCACTAAAATCAGCAACTGCAAAAAACTTCACCACATGGAAAAGAAAAGTCATGTTCAGCATCATTGTCCAAACTCAAAAACAGCCCTTGTGGGATGTTTTTGTGGTGTTTAACTAATAATGGAAGCAACATGATAAAGTACTAAAAACTTTTCCCAGCGGCTGGGAAAAAAACAATAACAGAATGGCATAGAGGAGATTACCATATCATCAAAACAAGGAAATAACAAGAACTAATATGGTCCCCATCACATAAACAGAACTGTTATAATGATACATGAGCAAATGAATAAAATTTGGATATTGGATTCTTCCAAAAAGTTCAAAAACTTGTTAATGGATTGGAAACCGACTATGGAAGGATAACTTTGCTATAAAAAATACTAAATTTAAATCATAAATCATATACATCAGAACTTTTGGAATCAATGTCGTGCGTGTATGCGATGCTTCTGGTTTTCAGTGTGAATCACTTATCAACAAATTCATTAGGCTTAGTATAAAAAAAACAAATTTTTGAACTCAGATACTAATGGTCAATATGGCAGGGCTTTTAGACACTGAAATTAGAGTAAATACAATTTCTAAAGCTTATACAATCTACTGTTTTCTTCAATATATTTAGTAACCAAATCTGCGAAACAATGAAGCTGTCAATGGTTTTCTAAGTAATACTCATTCTGACGATTAGTATTGTTGCTTTCATAACAGTGAAAACAAGTCCATAGAGATTGATCATCACTTGTATGAATTTGGGTCTGTGGAATACCATATCCAGGTAAGCCTTGGTCTTCAGAAATCGAATTTGAAATATTCTAGTCAATCTGTTCAGTGTTCATTTTCTGCCTTTCTACCTAAAATCAGTCAAAGCCTTCAGTGGAAAAGCATCAAGAAAATGGTTTTATCATGCATCCTCAAGATTCAAAATCAACTCACATAAAAGACTAAAATTTAAAAACATGATTAGCATTTTAGGATTTAGGAATTTCACTGGTTCTTTTAAAGAAATCAATTTTAGAGGAACGACACCTTCATGTTTAGATAAAATAATGTGTGAGAATTAGTGTGAGTGGTCAACACCTAATCATATGGGTTTTCCAGCAAGCATTTTAGTAACTTTTATGATGATTTTCTTGAAATGAAACAGTCTTCAACATCAGATGCACATTATACCTACTTGTCAGTATCAACCCCGCTCCTTTCCCAAGGATTCATACTACCAAATGGGATTTCGCATTATACTAAACAGATGGTAAAGGGAATTTGTCCGGATGTTGTGGAGATCATGGAACCTGCGAAAGAAGGATACCAGATTACTTTGAGACTTGATTTGTCTAAAATTCCAAATGGAAAAGGTTTGACAATCTTTCACATTACCTCAATAACATATAGAAAAATTTAATCATATTATTTGTCTTAAACGTCGATATTTCTTAATGCATGACCATCTACTTTGATAAGTCAGTACACATGGAGCTTCTTGCTGTTACATTGACTATCTCATTTTGAGTAAATCAATGGTCAGTTTGATAGCCAAAAGAACAAAAAGAATGAAACTTTGTAACTACTTACACTAAGCAATGTTTTCTTGGATTCCAAGCTCCTTTTTCCTCCGCTCCCTAAACCAGAAATTATAAGAAGATGACATAAGTTGTCCATATTGTTACACACCACTACATTGGTGAAAGTCCGAAAACAAGTCTGAATAGTAAATTTGGAGACAGCTGTGTCCTGTGCACTAGTACTTAATTAGGTCCTGAAGTGCTGTATAACCTAGTTTTCTGACTGTACTGTTGAGGCAGACTTCTTGTCCACAGTTTTGTAGTTTTTGTGTTGGTCACAAAATTCTGCTTCTTTAGAAAAATTGACAGAATGAAAAATGCTTAAGCTAACATGGTAAAAATTTACAGTGAAATTCTGCTAAGATTTTCTTGAATCATATTCATAATTCTATTCATGAAATTCTTTTTTCTTTCTCCAGATTCTATAAAGGTAATTGCAGACATTTCTGCTGTGCAAGCAGTAATCTTAAGTTCTCAGCTGAAAGAAATGTTGATGAATGTCAGCTCCCAAGATACATTTCAAGGAATGTATAAGACAATCAAGCTTGTATATCACCCAAGAGAGCCTTTCTTTATTGTTAGACAGGTAAACTTCCTTCCTAAGGGGAACATCAGACTACCATATAATGCAGAACAATACTTGTCACTTTAGAGATAAACACATAAGACCACCATATAATGCATGGATTTTAATGAAGGTACTCATGTTTTGACAGCCACAGAAAATCTTAGCAGTATTCCCGATACGTTTTAAAGACAAAACAGACGTCATTATTGCAACAGCCTTCTTTCAGGTTTGTGGCTGATGCAGTGAAGTAAATATTTTCTCATTAATACTAGTAATGAAATCACACTCTATTTCCTATTCCTAACAAAAATTGGTTAAAATTTTCTTTTCCTCGATTTTCTATTTTGATCCCCTTCTGGGGAATGGAGACAGGAACTTATGGATGTTGGAAGTTCTGAAAAATGGGCCAAAGCACCTCCTTGTTGCTGGTCACCCATTCCACCTCCAGAGTTAAGAGGAGAACCTTTTGAAGATTTGAGTACCAACGGAGGATTTGTCTCTTTTGGTATCTTCTTAGATAACAGTCTTTAAGTGCAAAAGTCATGAATTGAGTGGTTACAAACCAAATTCTATTCACCATTAGTCCAAATAAATGGAACAAAAAGTACTCCAAATATAAACTTTCCTCTTAAGCGCCATGAATTATCCAACAATAAGTTAGAGAAAGATGGAACACTTTTTTATAAATCCTATAATAATGTTTCTTAGTTAAATAATAGCATCAGCTATTGTTTTATCTTTTTTAATTTATGGTTGGTTTTTCATATACCAGATAAAGATTTGGTATACTCAGTCTAATACATGTGGTATTAACTCATATGCAGATATTTCTTCACGCCATGTCAAAGGTAAAAGACTAGACAAGACTGTATGGAGTTTGTTGAATTTCTATGCCTATGTTAAATACCATGTAAAGGTAATAATTCTACATTGTTTTTTGGTTTGTTTTTTCCTTGTGAAAATTCATCCTTAGTATTCTAGAAATTTTTAAGCATAGCAATGGTTACATTTTTAGCTAACAAGTTTGTTCAACCAGAGCACCAGAAGTTTTATTCAGAGAAGGATGAGAAATCGTTTGCAGAGATTAGTTGAGGTACAGAACTGAAACCCCTTTCATACCCAAGAAACTCAAGACCAATGTTTACGAGTATACAATTTCTTTTCCTTCTCTCATATCAAAAGGAATTTTGGATTGAAGACCCCAAAAAAGATGAGAGAACTAATATTCCTTACATGCTTGTAGGTCCTGCATAAGAGAAGCACGCAGGAAGAAGAAAAAGAAGAAGAAGAAGAGGGAAACCATAAGGTTCAAGGTACGGTTTCAGTCTGTATACTTTCACAAACTCATAATAAGTAATAAAAAGATAGCTGTAAAGTAAAGGAATGAGCTAAGAACTTCCCTCAGAAGGAGGCAGCAGCTGGTGCCTTCAGTTTCTGATGGACACAAAGTTGGAAATGAGCTTAGCTAAACTCATTACCACTTAATTCTTATTAGACAAAAAAAAAAAAAAAAAGTATTACCACTGATTCCGTGCCATATATGAAATAAAGTATTTAAAAAAGTTATCAAAAACAGAATCTTCACAATGATATAATGACTGGTAAGTCCATTATTCTTAGTAACTTCTGTAAGAGAGATATGGTAGACCAACAACAATTCATATTTTCTTAAAATCTGGTTATAACTCTCTCATTGTTTGCTTTCAAGCAAATGCAGGATGCATGTTCATGAGAAAAAGGATCAATGTATCAAAACCTAAAATTCTAAAACGAAGATATAATGACTTGAGTGGGAAGATCAAGAGAATCCGTTCGCGAATTAAAATCCAGGGATTTGGGCGTTTTCGTCGACGATGGTTGAAAATGCCAAAGTTTTCTTCTTCAATGAGATATACCAAATTAGATTAAGTTCGTTCCATATCAGGACAGAAGTTAGGATAAAGAATCATTGTCCTATACTGCTTCTTATTCAGAAACATACCATGACATTGTTTCATCACATTTAAATAGCAACTGAGTGCTGTTTTAAAGCCTTCATATTTATCAAACTATAGTGACATAACTGCTTAATTTGTATGTCTTAATATGTCATTCAGTGAAAGTCAGATAAACAAAAGCAGACAACATGTTGCTTAAAATATTCAAAGGATTCAATTTGCTTTAGAATTGAAAATAGAAATAAAAATAACCTCGCAACCATTTGGTGCTTATAAAGTTGTGGCAACATCAATGAAAGAACAAAGTAAAGAGCACTAAGACAGCAGATATGTATAAACTCAAAACTTGAAAAATTAATATAGACATAGATTTGGAAATTACATTTTAGCCAAATAGAGGATAGCAAGATAAGTTTTTGGGGAGCTAGTTTAGTTGCTGACGAAATAAGCAACAGTTTGCGATCCGAACATTCAAACAGAAAGATCTGAACATAAATAGCATCAAATAGTATTTTACCTTTTTTTTTCCTGGATTATATTAAAAGGTCTAGGATTGACTTACCAGGAAATTTTTCAGCTGCCACAGTGAATCATAATCATAGGACACCTTAAAATTTTCAGTTGTTACTAGTATCTCCAACTTCTCAGGAACCCTTTCAAATTTCAACTCTCATTCTCCTTCCTTCAAATGGATGCGGTTCATTGTATGCTTGATTTTTGAAGAGTGACAACTTTGAATGCAGATGGTAAATTATTGATAAACATCTGAAAGTAAATGATTTCTGTACCAAAGTATGTATGTAGCCACGAATTTGCATCAGATGCAATGGCCCAGATTGTAAAAGTTCGCGTTAGGCTACCAATGCACCAGATGCATTGCCATTACTTATTTTGAACTCACAAAAGTCTTAATAACCTGCCTTATAAGGAGCGCCAAAATTGAAGGTAGATATGCGGTATCGACAAAGACAGATTACAGTGCTTATGTTTTTATATTCTTTATTTTTTGAAATGTAAGTACTAGTATTACTGATCATATATATCGAAAAGTCTGCTCTTTTAGATCATAAACACTTTATAAGGATTACAAACACATTGAAAGAAAAAGAAAAACAAGAGGCCAAAGAGGGAGAAAAAGGTCATGTATGTATTGACCAACAATTTGCGGCCATTCGCATTTAAGTCATGAATGTTGCAGTGATTTTATAAGCATAACTCTAATACTTCCGCAACATTCAGAACACAACGAAAGTTATCCATTTACTACAACTATAATACAAAGTAAGCATCTAATACTTAATTTAAATTCATGATCTGAGACAATCCAATATCAAATAACCGCATGCCATAAATTTAAATTTAAAAAAAAAAAAAAAAAGAGTAAACACTAGCGACCTGAGAATGAACAAATGAGTAAAATCTCCATTATCTCTGAAAGTTTCTACCAAAATTGACAGTAAACAAAAACAGAACATACATTTCATTCCATATCGAGGTCGAGGCTAGAAGGCATCAACACATGCCCCGAATCAAGCTGCGCTAGCAACGGGCCACTGGCCTCACCACACCTCAAATTCCAGTTACTTGCCACCAAAGCAAACAACATCAAACTCAATAGCAAGACTGCAATTGCATGCCCAATGAACAGCAGCGTCATCAAAGAAACACCCCTCAAACCATCCTCCTCAAGATCACATTTCCACTCAGCATTCTCCTGGTTTGGCCAAACTGACATTTTCTTGCACCCTTTTAATCCAAATGCATCAGTGTACAAGGACAATCCAAGTTGCAAAATCCAAGTTCCTTTTAAGACCAATCCAGAGGACAAGAAAAACTCGGCGCAAAACGAACAGGGCCTAATTGATAAATACAAGGAACAAACAGCACAAACAAGGGTCAATGTACCTAATATATCATACATAGCTCCACCAAGACCCGAAATTCCCTTGCCGATCACCGAATACTCGACCAGGAACGAAATGGCTGCGATAACGAAGACGAACCCTTCATCGATATGCAAAGTGTCAATGTTTTCACGGCAGATGATCAAAATGATGAGTGCCCAGAACATGAAAATGGCTGCTGATTGCTGGAAAAACGCGAAACGATACGTGGGGTGGCCCGAAAAGGCTAAAAAGATAAAAATTTCGGAGAAGGAAGCCATGGGGAGGGCTATGGTGAGAGTGTACAAATCAAAGTTTTTCCATTTGGGTTCTGAGAAATACCAGATTTTGGATCGGTAGAGAGATGGGTTCTTGAGGTAGAGAGAGGAGGAGCAGAGTAGGCGACGTAGGCCTATGGGAAAGAGCAACACGAACGCTGAGAAATGGGTTGCTAGTGATGCCATGTGAATTGTGAAGCAGCTGTGAAATTTGTTGCGTTTCTCTCTGCTTTCTGTATCTGTTTCTGATTTTCCTGCGTTTTTTAGTTTTCGTTCCCTCGTCGACGTTGTGAGGAGAGCTGTGAAATTCAGAAACGGTTTTTTGTGTTTTTCTGGTTTTGGTTTTGGGCTCAAATTTTCGGAAAGAGAATGTTAAAAGTTAAAACCATTGGCCAAATGACACTTTTCACCTTTTTTATCTTTTCTTCTACTGTGGTATTTTTTTGTTGTTACATTGAACGCGATCCTAACTTTAACTTATATTAATTATTACATTTCAAAGATTTTTTTTTTTTTTTTTTTGAGAAGACATTTCAAAGACTTATGTTTTCACTTTTCTTCTATTATTTACGCACCATAATGTTGTCTCCTCATATTATAATATATGATATTATATGTAATAATGTGACATTCATATCTAAGTAAGTATTTTCCCAAACCTACTACTGTGAGCAAGTTCATATCATCATCTTGCCAACATGAGCCTTCACATTTTTTATTCCCCTTTATTCAACCTAGGAGTACCGCTGCACATGATAGGGCACGTGCCTAATTTTAACGTTGCAACACACAAGATTTGGTTATTTGGATGAATGTTGTAAACACTTGGTAACTACGAGGATAAAATCAAAAAAATTGAAACTACAAGAACGAAACTAGATAAACTATGTGGACCAAATGTATTTCTCACCTTAAAAAAAACACATTGATACTCATTGGACAAGTCATTCTATAGTAACGGCCTTACATATGACCCTTGGGTAAGGCCCTATTTCTTAACTGTTGGATTAAATTGGTTAACTGTTTGATCAAATTGGTTAGTATGATCCAACGATTAAGAAATAGGATCTCACCTAAGGGCTTTATATAAGGTCATCACAATAGAATTGTCGCTCATTGGACACCCCTTAGTTGGGCTTTTGGGCTCAGATGAAGCCATGAGTAAGATAGAGCCCATGAGAGGCCCACTTACTCCTTTTTTCTATTTCTTTTTTGTGTCAACACACTTCCTTTTACTCATCTTCAAGCCGAACCGGAGCTACTGTGCGGTTTCATTCCAGCTCACCCTTTTTCTGATGAAGAAGAAACCACTTTAAATTTGCCTAGACCCTGAATTTTGTTGTCTTTCATTCAAATAATTGTAAAACCCCACCGGCCACCCTTTTCTTCTTTGTCACTCAGCAAAGTTCGGGGGTTGGAGCTGGGTCAATAGAAACTACAAATAACAATGCTTTCTTCAATTACCTCTCAACGGCTGAGACCCTTTCTTCTTCTTCATCTTCGTCACGCTCAAATCCTCCTATATTCCTCTCTTCCTCACTCTGTTTCCACCACACCCATTTCGATTCACAACCCTACTAACCCAGAACCGCAATCAAGTTCAACAATTTATGACCACACCACGGTGCGTGAAACGCTTTCTTCTTACTGCAATGACTGGAAGAAAGCCTTGGACTTCTTTAACTGGCTGGAAACTGAATGTCACTTCCTACACACCACTGTAACCTACAATCGCATGCTTGACATTCTTGGTAAGTTCTTTGAGTTTGAGCTCTGTTGGAACTTAATTCAAAAAATGAAGCAGAACCCAGTTTCTGTTCCTGATCATACTACATTTCGTACTCTGTTTAAGAGGTATGTATCTGCACACCTTGTAAAGGAAGCTATAGATACTTATAATAGATTGGAAGAGTTTGGTTTGAAGGATGAGACCTCCTATTGTAATCTTATTGATTCTCTTTGTGAGTATAAGCATGTGATTGAAGCCCAAGAATTGTGTTTTTGGAAGAACAAAGATTTGGGCTTTGATAAGAGTACTAAGCTCTATAATTTACTTCTTCGTGGGTGGTTGAAAATGGGGTGGTGGGGTAAGTGTAGGGACTTTTGGGAAGAGATGGATAGGAGAGGTGTTCGTAAAGATTTGCATTCGTATTCAATATATATGGATATATTATGCAAGAGTGGAAAGCCGTGGAAGGCTGTGAAGTTGTACAAGGAGATGAAGAACAAAGGGATCAAACTGGATGTGGTGGCATATAATACAGTTATTCGTGCCATTGGTCTTTCTGATGGTGTTGATTTTTCAATGAGGTTGCTAAGGGAGATGAAGGAATTGGGTTGTCAACCAAATGTCGGGACGTATAATACAATTATAAAGCTTTTGTGCGAGAATGGGAGATGTAAGGAGGCATTTTCGTTGCTTCATCAAATGCCTAGGATGGGATTACTACCAGATGTGATAACGTATCATTGCATTTTTAAGCATCTAGAGAAGCCAAATGAGATTCTTAGACTGTTTGATAGGATGACTGAAAGTGGGGTTCAACCGAAGATGGACACTTTTGTGATGCTTATGAGGAAGTTTGGAAGATGGGGATTCCTCAGACCAATGTTTCTTGTGTGGAATAGGATGGAAAAACTTGGGTGTAGTCCTGATGAGTCTGCTTACAATGCTTTAATCGATGCACTGGTGGAAAAAGGTATGTTAGACATGGCTAGGCAGTATGATGAAGAGATGCTAGCAAAGGGGCTTTCAGCTAAACCAAGGGAGGAGTTGGGGACGAAACTAGTGAGCAGTGAATCTGATGATGGGTAATTGCAATATGATTTTGATGCTTCGAAAGTACCTACACATGCATCTGGAATACACAGGCATTTCCACCTGCATTTTTCTGTTGAAAAGAAAATGGGAGCTAAGGAATACCATCTGAATAATGCAAACAGTGCTGAAGGATATGGTATTTATGGCTCCCAGATACATATTATTATGAAGGTGTGCAGCTGAGAACATTGGTTACACTGAGTAAAGAGTTTGGGGTGGTAACCACAGATCATTCGACGACCTTTTGTGCTGAGCTTGTCATAACATGGACACCTATTTCCTGCTCATAATAAAACTAAATGTTAAAGACCTTTTTGATCTAGGACATGGATGTGTGGGTAAATTTGCCTGCAAAGCTGATATTTGGAGCCCAGAAGCATGGTTTCCATTGGTTCAGAAGTAGGCAAAATGTGGGGAGAGGATATTCTTGTCAGTGCCCTTGTTCTTGCCGATGCGTTGGAATTGTTTCCAAATTTAGATTCCAAGGACATAGTTGTTCATCCATTTTGTCTTCCACTCTAACAGTCATGGAAACCTATGATGATATTAAGCAAGTTACTAGTGGTGACAGTATGCAAGTTGCTGTATTGGTGTCTAGCTGCACACTGATATGGGTAACTTTATCGTCTCTTTCGGGACATCTTATAACAATTTTTCTTCTTGTTTCCTTTTTTAGTTGCTGGGGAGGGGTGTTCTCAGTTTGTAACAATTCCTTATTGGGAAAACTTCTCAATCGATTCCTAATGAGCAATTAAATTTAGAGTGAGAAACATTTTTGTTTGTGTCTGGAAAATTGAATATGAAATTGGATGCACTGTATTGGGCACTTAAAATAGTTATCGGAGTCTCTGTAATGTTTTCTTAGGGCCTTTTCTCCCTTCCATAATTATTTTATGCAGTTGCTAGCTTAAATATTACTCATTTTAATATATGTTAGTACAGTTGGTTTTGTACATTAGCAGCCTGGGTGAGTTGATGTCTTCTTTTATTTTCTCTCCTTTCATTGCATGTATCCAATGGACCTGCGACCACTGCTTTGGATTAAAACTGTTTATTATATTGGTTGTCCAGAGTCCAGACTATGCTTCTGTTGCCCAAAATTTGTTATTTTACTTAGGATCATATAGAGAAGCCAGTACCCAAGTTAGAAGAAAGAGTTGGACTCCTGGAAGAAGGATCTTGCATGGATGCCACAATCCTTTCCTTCGTGGTTCTTTGCAGCTTGAAATGCAGGAAAGCAAAGACTTTTGTACTTGAGATGTAATTTTGGGGACTTGTGCGGTTGAAATGCTTCATCTTTGGCATACAGGTATGTGTAAGGAAACTTGTATACAAACTAATGCCTTGATGTTATGTACATTCTTTCTTTTCCCCTTCATTGTTGGTTTATATTTCTGTTTATAGAATGGGAGATTTGCTTTCTTCTCTCTTTGTTCTTAAACTTTACTTTACTGATATTATTTGCGTTCTTGGGTGATTCAATCGGTGCAATTTTAAATGAACAATTTGAATACTGATCTGTTTGAATCCTATGTGAAAAATATTTGAAACTGAAGTTAACTAGGGTTTTTCATTTGTTTGACAGAGTAAACAGCCAACCAAGTCTTAAGCAGATCTATATATAGTGCAATTCCAATCTAGAAACAATGTTTAGTTTTCACCCAAGGAAGCACTCTAGTGATCACATCCTGGGAAGTGCCATTAATTATACCCTTCCATGGTTTACCAAGTTCCTGGATGTAGCAGCACCTGAAATTCAGTGTTCTTCTCTTGTCGGTATTGTTCTTTATTTGAAAATCTTTGGACCTCCCTGATTTTTATATTATCAGGTTTGATTTTCTTGATTCTCTTTCCTTTTTTCCGTCTTTTTCTTCCCTTCCTGGCTTTCAGGATACAATTGCAGTTCCTTGCTTATATTGTTTTGTTTAAGTCTACTTGGCTTGTTTGTGGTCTTCAAAGAAATAATAAACATACATGTCATTACCAGTCTCAGAGAAATAGATTTTGGAACATCAGTTTAGTAGTTTCTAAATTTAATTTTTTTAACATTTTAAAAAGAAAAATTCCGGTGGAAATGTTTGTTCAGCATTGTTTTTTTCGGGGCAAAGTTAGGAAGGGGTAGGAGAGTTTTCTCACAAACACTATCAAGGTGTCATGGACGTTTGAACCTAAGACCACTGGTCTGTAAGTCAAGTCCTTTTTCCACTAGGCTTGATCTCATTGAGATATTTGTTCATCATTTTAATCGTGCTGTTTTGTCTAGGGTTTCGAAATTCCAATTTTCTTGGAAAGCTTGCACTTTTTTCCTACAATGACACTTGCGATGTGCATCAAACACCGTCCTCAGGAAGCCATTTTAAAACCATTCTCCGAGTCTACTTATGACTTCAAACATTCAACGTTGAAAATTCATGTTGTTCACATGCAGCTGCCTAGTAGGAACGAAGCTACCAGGACTTGTAAAAGATGCAAATCTCGCCATTTCAACGGTCCCAATGATGCCCTTTGGTTGTT